GGTGTCAGGGTCGGGGCCGCCCGCACCGTGTGGGCCTGGGGGTGCAGCCCTGCTTCAGCCTTCGGTCCGGGACCGCAACTAGGTGCCGACCCGGGGCCATCTGACCGTGGCTCCCTGGCGAAGGTGACATTGAGCTCCCGCCTCCACCCCCCCCTCCCGGTTTCTCGAGGACACTTGAGCTTCCGTGTGGGTCGCAGGACAAGGACCTCGTTAACGCTTTGTCACCTTTACAGCCAGGGTCCTCTTAGGGGCGGTTGAGCTGTCTCCTGATTCCTCCACGTTCAAAATGGCTCGATTTGTGTGGCTGTGTCCTGCGGTCTGGGAGCTTGATGCTGGCGGGTGTTGTGACCACATTACTGTCTCGAATCTTGTGTGCCAAATACCCAGGAGTCCTGGATTCTATAAATATGGGGGGAAAAGCTTCGTGCTCCCCCCGCTTCAGTTTGGAGGCCTGGTTGTTGGAGGCGAAGTGTTGCTAATTCTTGTCTCTTATTTTCCCTTTTCTCTTGTGTGTTGCTGGAGATTCTGTGTCCAGCACTGTACTTTGAATCATCATCGCTGCGCCTAGTTTGGCCCATGGTGGTAGTGTACACTGCATTATGAAACCTATGTTTTGTGTACGTGTATTTTAAAGATAAACTCAAAAAGGAACAGCAGTATTTGCTTGACTAGGGATTTTAACTATGGAACTGGAAGAATATTTTTGGCTTCATTTAATTTGGGTTTCATTTTTTATTCTGTATCATAGAACCATAAGTCTGGAATGCAATGTAGAGACCATGGTGATTATTTTATACAGAAGAGGACACAGACTCACCTTGCCAAATTATTTCTTTTTTTTTTTTCTTCTTCTCCTTCTTTTTTTTGGTTTTTTGAGAGACAGGGTCTCACTATATAGTTGAGACTGACCTGGAACTCACTGTGTAGCCCAGGCTGGTCTCGAACTCACAGTGATCCTCCTGCCTCAAGCCTCCTGGTTGCTGGGATTACAGACATGCTTCACCATGCCCGGCAGCCCAACTGATTTCTTTATTAGTGGTGGAACTATTTTCTGTTTCTTATCTGTAATTGTCAGATTTGACCCATCTGAAAGGGTTTTTTAGTTAGTTTGTTTGAGACAGGGTCTCCCTATGTAGGTTAGCCTGGCCTTGAACTCATAGCAATCCTCCTGGCTCTTGTGAGGTTTTTTTGTTTTTGTTTTTGTTTTTGTTTTTAATTTTATTGTAATGTTCCTGCCTGTGGCTCCTGAGGGATTACAGGTCTAGGCCACCATGCCATTTCCTTTTTTCTATAGATAATGTTTTAGGATATGTCTCAATCCTAAACTGGATATGATGATTAAACAGCTGTAATCCCAGCACTCTTGAGAGGCTGTGGCTGGAAGATCTCAAGTTGGAATTCAGCTTGGGTAACTTTGTGACCTTGTGAGACCATGTCTCAGGATTAAAAATTAATAAAGCTGGGCTGGGGATTTGGCTCAGTGGTTCTAGTGCCTGCCTCGCAAGCTCAAAGACCTGGGTTTGATCCCCGGTACCACCAAAAAAAAAAAAAAAAAAATTAAAGGGATGGGAAGGTAGCTTAGTACAAAGGCTCTAGGTTCAGTAATTATTATTGCCCAAAAAACACATCTAAAACAAATTTCTTTCTAAGTTTTATAGCAGATTTGAGAAATGCCAAGAGGTATTTCCCAAAAGGCAAAGTATAGAGTTAAGAAGTGTCTTACTTATTTTATTTGTTGGTTTATTTCCTAGCATTCAATTTACTTTCCTGAGTAAAATTAAACTAAAAAGGGTTATTTCAGGTGTTTGTGTCACATACCTAATCATTTGCCACAAGGAGGCAGTACTGATTACAGTCAATTTTTGTCTGTACGTTCTTGGACATGTTGCTTAACCTTATGATTCTGTTGCTTCTCTAAAATCAGATTAAATTTAGGTAGTTGTGAGGTTTAAATGGGATAATGTAATTCTTATCACTTTGCCTGGTACAGATGCTTAAAGATAGCCATGTTTTAATGAAATAAGATCTAGTAAACCGCAGTTAGTCAGTTTTGTCCTGTGAACATCATAGTGTGAACCTAGACACAAACCTAGCAAGTCTAGCCTACTTCATACCTAGGGTATATGGTATATTTTATCTACATGTGGTCTGTCATTTGTGTACAGTGTTATGCAACCTACAAGCTGTACATACTTTATTGTGCATTTCACTTTTATATATTAAAGGTTGAAATTTGTTATCAGTATGAGACCTTAAGTATTTTTTGCAAGTGAAAGTCAAAAGAGTTAAATTTCTTAGATGAGGCTATCTAGGAACAAAAGAGAACATATTATCCTGGTATGGTGGAGCATGCCTGTAATCCCAGCACCGCAGAGGCTAAGGCAGGAGGATCGCAGTAAGTTTGAGGTGAGCCTGGACAACATAGTGAGTGCAAGTCCATTTTGACCTACATAGCGAGGCTGTGTCTCCAAAAAAAAAAAAAAAAAAGCCATGTAATTTAATACCATCTAAATGCTAAAAAATGTTATAGAAATGTTCCCATTTTTCACAGCTGCTTACTTTTCTCCTTGGGAACCTTCTGGTTTGTATAAAAGCATTGAGTAATTATTTTCCATAATAGTTAGCCTTCCATGCCTCAAGTTGTACATGCTGTACTTTAATGAGATGGGGGTGTAGGGGACGTGCCTGTATGGTTTCCCTAGAGAAGAAAATGATGTTGGTTGTGACGGTACATGCCTATAGTCCCAGCTACTGGATAGACTTCCATGCCTGGCTTGTTTTGTGTTTTGGTTGCTTTTTTTTTTTAAACAGGGTCTTGCTATGTAGTCCAGGCTGTCTTTGAACTCACTAGGAAGCCCAGGCTGTCCTCAACTCACTGCGATCCTCACTGCTGCCCAAGTGCTAGGATTACACATGTTCCACCATGTCCAGTCTTTTTTGTTTTTTGTTTTTTGTTTGAGACAGAGTCTCACTGTACTTCAGGATGGCTTTGAACTCGTTCTCTAGCCCAGGCTGGCCTCCAACTTGTGGCAACCCTCCTGCTTCAGTTTCCCCATTGGTGGGGTTATAGTGTGTGCCATTTCACCTGGTTAAAATTTTCTATCCATCTGTCAGTATCTTGTCAGTATATATGTATACACTGTGAATCTGCTTAAGAACTATAGTGGATTTTGTTTGGAGGCAGAGTCTTGCTGTGTTGTCCAGGCCAACCTTGAACTGCTGAGTTTGAATACTCCCTGCCTCAGCTTTCCAAGTAGCTGGGACTATAAACATGTATCACCATACTCAACCAATAGTATTTTTAGTTAGGAATCAATTCTCTGCTATTGCAGAAATTCACAGAGTATGGAAACATAAAAGGAGATACAGCTTTTCCTTTCTAAAGATAACTCCTGTTAACAGCTTCAAGTGAGTTACACATTGGAGGATGTGAAGCACAAACATAGTTATATGATATTTCTGTTCTACTGATAATCTTTGCTTAATAATTTAAAAGATATATATCAGCACACAAGATCAATTTCATTTGACCTGTTGAATATTTTTTCTGCCACACATATATATTGATGCAAATCTTAATGCAGGCCTAGCATAGAGGTGCAGGCCCATGATCTCAGCACTGAGGGAGGCTGAGAAAGGAGAATCACAAGTTTGAGCCCAGCCTGGGCAACTTAGCACCTGAGCGAGACCCTGTCTCCATCAAAAAAGGGATGGGAAGCCAGGTGTGGTGGTGCACACCTGTAATCCGAGAACTCGGGAGGTTGAGGCAGGAGGATCGCTGTGAGTTCGAGACCAGCCTGGGTTACATAGTGAGACCCTGTCTCAAAAAAGGGCGGGGGGATGGGGTTGTAGTTTAGTGCAAAGGCTCTGGGTTCAATCCCTGTACAGTAAGTCCCCAATTTACAAATGAGTTCTGTTCCGTGAGAATTGTTTATAAGTCAGATTCATTTGTGAGCCAACAGTCTTACACAGTACACCAGTGAAAGTTTGCAACTCAGATGTGTCTAAGTCAGGGACTTACAATACTAGAAAAAAACAACCCCCCCCCCAAAACTGCACATACCTGTAATCCCAGCACTGAGGAGGCTGAGGGATTGCCACAAGTTTGAGGCCAGCCTGGATGAGACCCTATCTCAAAAAACTCCCCCCAAAAACAACAACAAAGAAAAAATAATGCATTAGGCAAGATACATTAAGTGCTGTCTCTGTACATAAAGTTATTGCTCTCTGTCTATTGTAGCTGTCCATTCGGCTCGCTGCTATTCCCATGGGTCACACGAGACAGATGAGGAGTTCGATGCTCGCTGGGTGACATACTTCAACAAGCCAGATATAGATGCCTGGGAATTGCGTAAAGGTAACTGGAACATAAACACATCTGTCAATTTTGGTGTGTAAATATTGTTTCCACTACTTTGTTGAAAATAAATACTTTGAAAATATGCATCATGTAAACTTTTCATGCAGCTTGCCGTTGGGAAAGTTTATGGCTTTGTAGTTTCTTGTGAAGCAGGGTTTTAAAGCAGACAGCGTTATTTTGTGTCATGGTTATTTGTTGTAGTGCTCTGTCCTTTGCACTATAGGGTATCTATAACCATGCTTGGCCTCTGCCCACTAGGCGTACACATACACACACACAAACCTGCAGTTATGATAACCAGAAATGTCTCCAGACACTGCCCAGTGTCCGGTGGGCAACAGAATCACCCGTCTCTAAACCACTGCTGTAAACACAGGACTTACTGGGTGTAACTCACAGTCTTGGGCCTTCTGGGTGATCTACATAGCACTCATTTGCTTCTCTTTTCTGAGGAATGTAGTGGTCTGCATTTTTTGTACTGGGGATCCAACTCAGGTCCTTATGCTTGCTAGGCAGGTGGCGGCACCACTGAGCTAAATCCCCAGTCCTAGTCTGAGCTTTTTGTTGTTGTTGTTGTTGTTCTTGATTGTAAATTGTTTTTCCCTGAGTATTAGTCTAAGCTAAAACTTGTTTTTTTTTTTAAGTTTGCAGATGTGCATTTGACCTGAATAAGTAGCACTAATGGTAACTAGTCATAAATTACTTAATTTATCTCAGACCAAGAATTAAGTACATATGCCTGTATGCTGGCATATTATTCACTTGTGTCCTTTGTTTAAATATTTTATTTTTATTTTTTTGAGTACCAGGGATTGAACTCGGGACCTCACGCTTGCAAGGCAGGTGGTGGAACCACTGAGCTAAATCCCTAGCCCTTGTTTAAATATTTTAAACAAAAGCAAGAAAGGAGTGCTTTAAATTCTTCTGCTGGAATGTAATGGCTCCATTTGCTGCAGCCATGGAAACTGTTGCTGAATAATTTGAAGTAGTAATGAGGAGGACAGACATTCTGTACCCTCATTTAAAGAATCTTCCATTTATGACATGCCATTTTGTGCAGACATGAAAGTAATTGTGGCCATTTTCTGGTTGGGTGTTTATATTCTTTACAACAATATTGCTGTGACAAAAAATACAGTAATACTGCTGTGTAATAGCTCCTTAATGTCCTCATTTGGGCTTCATTAGCTCTCTGTAGGCATTTCCCTGGTTGTTTGAGATTATTTGCCAATAGAATCTATCTTGAAGCATCCAAAAAATGAACATTGTGTTAAAAGTTAAAAATATGATTTGATGGCCAGGGATTTAGCTCAGTGACACTGCACCTGCCTCGCCAGCAAAAGGTCCTGAGTTCGAACTTTGGTACCCTGCCCTCTGAAGAAAAACATGATTTGAAAATTATTCTCTTTGAAGATAAATCTGCTAGTTATTAATGAAAATAGTGTTTGCATTTGAGAAAACACTGAGGTTTTTCCCTGCAGTTTGCATGCTGTTGTATAATTCTTTCCCACAAACTCTGTAAGAGCCACTGTGATCAGATCGTCTATGATCTGTAAAGGGAAATTCTCATTGCATAGATAATAGGCCCAAATAGAAGGTGACTATGACTGAGTCAGAATATACACAACTGTATTTTAGTTTAAGTGAGGATAATTATAATTCCATGCTGACATGCCTCCTTTTTAATTTGACAGGGATGAACACGCTTGTTGGCTATGATCTGGTTCCAGAACCCAAAATCATTGACGCTGCTTTGCGGGCATGCAGACGGTTAAATGATTTTGCTAGTGCTGTTCGGATTCTAGAGGTGGTTAAGGTGAGTGAAATAACAGTGCTGAAATTAGGCCGGGTGTGGTGACACACGTCTGTAATCCCAGCACTTGGGAGACTGAGGCAGGAGGATCGCTGTGTGTTCAAGACCAGCCTGGGCTACATAGAGTTCCAGGTCAGTCTCAACTACATAGTGAGACCCTGTCTCAAAAAACCAAAAAAACAAAAACAAAAAAAAAAACAGTACTGAAATTATTCCAGAAGTTGCTGGGCTGTTGATCAGGTTTCAGCATATTCTATTTTTGAATTTGTTAAAATACCTAAAGTAGTTTTTTAATAAGTAGAAGGCATGTACATTATAGTTAATTATGAAGGCCTTAAAAAATATGCATGAGAGCTGGACTCTTTGGCATACTCCTATAATCGTAGACGCCTGGAGGTAGCTGAGGCAGGAAGATTTGAGTTTGAGGCCAGCCTGGGCAATTTAGCAAAATTGTCTCAAAAAATAAAATGGGGGGCCAGAGATTTAGCTCAGTTATTCCACCACCTGCCTCACAAGCACAAGGACCTGGGTTTGATCCCTGGTACCAAAAAAAATAAATAAATAAATTAAAAAATAAAATGGGCTGGGAAGTAGCTCAGGGGTAGACTGCTTGCCTATCGTGGGCAAGGCCCTGAGGTTGTCCTCAGTATCTCACATATGCACCTAACAAACAATAAATTGTGATACCCTTTTATTTAGCAATTATATCTGTGAATTTGTCTTAAGAGCTAAGAAGCCTGATTTGGTGATATACTTCTGTAATTCAAGCACTCTGGGAGGCCGAGGCAGGAAGATTGCAAGTTCAAGCCCACCCAGGGCAACTTAGCAAGACTGTCTCAAAATTTTTTTTTGGTACTAGAGATAAAACTCGGGTCCTTGCACTTGCAAGGCAGGAAGCAGAACCACTGCACTAAATCCAGGGCCCTGTCTCAAAATTTTATTTTATTTTATTTTATTTATTTATTTATTTTGGGTTTTTTTGAGACAGGGTCTCACTATGTAGTTGAGACTGACCTGGAACTCACTATGTAGCCCAGGCTGGTCTTGAGCTCAGTGATCCTCCTGCCTTAGCCTCCCAAGTGCTGGGATTAGAGGTATGTGCCACCACCTGTCTCAAAATTTTAAAAGTGGGCAGGTGATATGGCTCAATGTGAAGGCCTGGGGTTCAAACCTTAGTTCTACCCCCCCCAACCTCCTAAAAATATGCAATTAAAAACATACAGAAGTTTCATTAGGAAGAGTATTCATTCTATGTATGGGGAGTGGTTTGAGACAGTGTCCTACTATGTAGCTCATGTTACCCTTGAATTCTTGCTCCTCCTGTCTCAGCTTCCCAAATGCTGGATTACAGTCCTGTTCCCACCAAACCCAGCTGTGTATTGGATCTTTTTTTGCTATCTGTGATGTGAAATTAAATGTTGTGTCAGGCATAGTGGCAAACACTTGTAATGCTAGCTATGTGGGAGGTTGAGGCAGAAAGATCACAAGTTTAAGACCAGTATTTCATCTTAGTGAGACCCTGCCTCCAAGTAAAAAGAGCTATGTAGCTTAGGGGTAGAGTGCTTGCTAGAACCACCAAAAAAAGAAAAAGAAGTTAAATGTCATTATTGTTTATTTTCTATGTTTTATTTTGAGATAGTCTCACTAAGTTGTCCAGGCTGAATTCAAACTTGTTTTTTTTTTTTTTTTTTTTTTTTTTATAACAAACAATAAATTGTGATACCCTTTTATTTAGCAATTATATCTGTGAATTTGTCTTAAGAGCTAAGAAGCCTGATTTGGTGATATACTTCTGTAATTCAAGCACTCTGGGAGGCCGAGGCAGGAAGATTGCAAGTTCAAGCCCACCCAGGGCAACTTAGCAAGACTGTCTCAAAATTTTTTTTTGGTACTAGAGATAAAACTCGGGTCCTTGCACTTGCAAGGCAGGAAGCAGAACCACTGCACTAAATCCAGGGCCCTGTCTCAAAATTTTATTTTATTTTATTTTATTTATTTATTTATTTTGGGTTTTTTTGAGACAGGGTCTCACTATGTAGTTGAGACTGACCTGGAACTCACTATGTAGCCCAGGCTGGTCTTGAGCTCAGTGATCCTCCTGCCTTAGCCTCCCAAGTGCTGGGATTAGAGGTATGTGCCACCACCTGTCTCAAAATTTTAAAAGTGGGCAGGTGATATGGCTCAATGTGAAGGCCTGGGGTTCAAACCTTAGTTCTACCCCCCCCAACCTCCTAAAAATATGCAATTAAAAACATACAGAAGTTTCATTAGGAAGAGTATTCATTCTATGTATGGGGAGTGGTTTGAGACAGTGTCCTACTATGTAGCTCATGTTACCCTTGAATTCTTGCTCCTCCTGTCTCAGCTTCCCAAATGCTGGATTACAGTCCTGTTCCCACCAAACCCAGCTGTGTATTGGATCTTTTTTTGCTATCTGTGATGTGAAATTAAATGTTGTGTCAGGCATAGTGGCAAACACTTGTAATGCTAGCTATGTGGGAGGTTGAGGCAGAAAGATCACAAGTTTAAGACCAGTATTTCATCTTAGTGAGACCCTGCCTCCAAGTAAAAAGAGCTATGTAGCTTAGGGGTAGAGTGCTTGCTAGAACCACCAAAAAAAGAAAAAGAAGTTAAATGTCATTATTGTTTATTTTCTATGTTTTATTTTGAGATAGTCTCACTAAGTTGTCCAGGCTGAATTCAAACTTGTTTTTTTTTTTTTTTTTTTTTTTTTTTTTTGGTATGAGGGATTGAACTTGGGACCTTGTGCTTGCAAAGCAGGCAGTGGAGCCACTGAGTTAAATCCCCGGCCCCTGAATTCAAACTTTGGATCCTCCTGCCTCAGCCTCCCAGAGTGCTAGAATTATAGACATGCACCACCAACCCTGGCTACAGAATATTTTTAAACATTTTAATTTTTAAAAATACAAATAAGGAGACCTAGAATTTGTTGACAGCAGAAGCATAGCAACTAGGCACTTCTTATTTCATTTGTCTTTTTAAGGCTTGCTCCTGGGGAGCTCTGTGATTATACACATATTATCATATGTGAGCGTCAAAATCCTTCAGCCCTGCCAGGCATGGTGGCACACACCAGTAATCCCAGCACTCAGGAGGCTGGGGCAGGAGGATTGCCAGAGTTAAGAGGCCAGCCTGAACTACATACATAGCAACACCCTGTCTCAGAAATCAAAAAATAAAAAATAAATCCTACCCTGGGTACGTACACTCTTTGAATGCAGCTCTCCATGAAGAGATACCACAATCTAAGAAAGACGTTCCAGGTCTGTCAGGTGGAGAGTGGCACTACTTTATCTAGAATGGATGAGATAATTAAGGTTTCTGTAGGCTGTCAATCCATTCAGCACTGGTAGTTAATTCAGTTAGTGGCTCAAACCGGAGGCAAATTAAAAAACTTTTCCTGTGTTAACTTAATTTTTCCTATTGCCTGCTGGGCACATTTAATTGCCTTTATAAACTTCTGTCATCACCACCATCTTTTCAGTAATTCCAGGCTTTAAAATTTTTTTTCTGGATTTAGTCTAATTGTCTTTGTTCTTAAAGTTTTTTTTGTTTTGTTTTGTTTTTTTGCGGAACCGGGGATCAAACTCAGGACCTTGCTTTTTGCCAGGTAGGCACTGGTGCCACTGAGCTAAATCTCCGGTCCTCAGAATATCTTTAAAACCTACCTGCAACAGTTCTCTTTATTGAAAAAATGACTTACTGTGAAAGTAGAAGCCATATCAATTCTGGCTGTAGGCCTCTATATATGATTAAAAGTGTTTTCAAAAGGCGGGCGTGGTGGCACAGGCCTGTAATCCCAGCACTCAGGAGGCTGAGGCAGGAGGATTGCTGTGAGTTTGGAGACCATCCTGGGCAACATAGTGAGTTCCAGGTCAGGCTCAACTACATAGTGAGACCCTGTCTCAAAAAAAAAGTGTTCTCAAGCTCATTTTGTTGAGACAGCTTTTCAGGATTTAGTGTGAATGTTTTCTTTTCTCAACAGGACAAAGCAGGACCTCATAAGGAAATCTACCCCTATGTCATCCAGGAACTGAGACCAACTCTGAACGAACTGGGAATCTCCACTCCAGAGGAGCTGGGGCTTGACAAAGTGTAACCTACAGGTGACAACAGTGCTGAGCTGGCAAAAGAGCCCAGGGCTGGGGCAGCCAGCTTGTAAGAGCTTTTCCTGCTGGAGGCTGGCTGGAAGCCTGGGGAGGGAGAGTGCTGCAGTGTTGTTAAATCGAAGGAACTGAAATTGTTCTTAGTTATCATTGAGCTAGGTATATGTAGCACACACCTGTAATCCCAGCACTCAGGAGGCTGAGGCAGGAGGATTGTCTGAAGTTTGAGGGCAGCCTGTGCTACACAGTGAATTGATTGATTGATTGATTGATTGGTACCAGGACCTTGTGCTTGCAAGGCAGGCAACAGAACCACTGAGCTAAATCCTCGGCCCTACACAGTAAATTTAAAACCAGCCTGAACTACATAGGGAGCCCCTGTCTCAAAAAAGCCAAAAAAAAAAAAAAAAAAGAATAAAGTTACCATTGCTCTCTTAATTGGAACAAAGCCAAGCAAAAGCCTCCTTTAATCTATGTAAACTGTTTGCAGCATAAAGAGTAGCACAGATAATCATCTAGTGAGCCCATTTGCCCACATCTTTGTTTTTAGATACTGTTTTGGCCACATTTCCTTAGTTTTTGCCCCATGAAGTGACTGATTTCACATAGAATTGGAGTATTATGTGTGCCTATAGTTTGTTTGTTTGTTTGTTTGTTTGTTTTTGTGGTACTGGGGTTTAAACTCAGGATCTTGCACTTGCAAGGCAAGCATGGTGTCACTGAGCTAAATCCCAGGCCCTGTTTGTTTTTTTGCCTATCCTTTTTAGTAACAGAATTATTAATTTTATTAATTTGATACTTGGGTTTTTGTATGCTTGAGTTAGAACTTAATGGTCAAGTAAATGTCCACTATTCAATAATGACTTACTGATACCTTGTTCTTTTTTTTTCCCCTTGTTCTTGATGGAAAGACAGATTGAGCAATAAAAACAGTCACAGGATTGGCTCAGCAGTGACTAGGTCCATAAAATCTTTTGTGAAACAGAAGATGGAGCTGGGGATTTAGCTTAGTGGCACCTTGCCTGCCTCATAAGCACAAGGTCCAGAGTTCAATCCCTGGTACCAAAAATAAAGTAAAACAGAAAATGCATAAACAGTGCCATGTTTTCATTTAACAGACGTGTACAGCGTGCATAGCTTTTACTGTACCAGGCATTGCTATAAGTGCTGTCTATGATTTTTCCCATTTTACTGTTACTGATGAGGAAACTGAGGCCCCATTCCAGGTCGTGGAGCTGTGAGGTAACCCGGAAGCCTAGCCCAGGGTCATTGCACATATTTACTGCAGCAGGCATTTCAAGACTTGGTACTTACAAAGGCCAATTGCTGTTCTGTAATGTTGCTCTGAGGGGAACTGCTGCCAAAAAGAAAAAGGAGTCTCTTTTTAAGACTAAACTGGAACTAAACTGTCATAAAAGTTTCAAAAACTAGATCCTAATTATTTAAGGAGTTAATGTGAGAGCACTTACAAAACAAGCAGCAGTGACCCTATGTGTAAGATATGTAGTTAGTGAACACCTCCTGAAACCCATCTGAGACACTCAGCAGCTGGAACACAGCACTTGCCTATCACAGGAGTTCATCCCCAGCATCACCCTTCAGTCTTTATCCTGACAAACTGAGCATAGATGCCTGAGTTTTGGGATCTCTTCAAAGCAATGGGCCTTTCTTTCTCTCCTTTTCTTCCTTTCAATTTGGTTTGGTTCCATTTTTTGAGACAGTCTTACTGTTTATCCTAGGCTGGCCTTGAACTCACAGGACCTCTTTCCTTAGCCTCCTGATCCTCCTGTCTCAGCCTCTGAGTGCTAGAATTACAGGATTCCACCCCCATGCCCGGTACAGTGGGCTTTTCATCTTTGCTTCCTCCCAAGCACAAACTCCCCAAAGCTGGTAGCTTATCATGATAATATGGGCATTGTTTTTTTGTTGTTGTTGTTTTTGGGTTTTTTTTGTTTTGTTTTGTTTTGTTTTTGCTATTACAGGTTTTTGTGGTACCATATGAGGAGAATACTAGATATCCAGAATAGAGGATTTCCTACTTATATTTTTATTATTTACTTATTTATTGGTGGTTTTTTGAGACAGGGTCTCACTATGTAGTTGAGACTGACCTGGAAATCACTATGTAGCCAGGCTGGTCTCGAACTCATAGCGATCTTCTTATATATATCTATCCCCAGGCCCCTACTTATATTTTCAAAGTTCTTGTCTATAGTTAATACCTTATAACTATTCCTTTAATATCTTATAAGGAATTCTGAAGAGGTTGCTTAAACTTGGGCTTTACTTTTCTATTACCAAACATTCCCAGTGATCCAGAAGATCTTTGGTACATAGAATGTATTCTAGCTGTAGTGACATTCCTTTTTTTGTTTTTGTTTTGTTTTGTTTTGAAACAGGGTCTCACTATGTAGTTCAGCCTGGCTTTGTATTCACATAGCTCAGGATTACAGGTATGCAGCACCACACCTGGCAACATACCTATTTTTTGTTTTTTTAGTTAAATCACTTTAGCTGGCATGTAGCTCAGTGCCAGAACACATGCTTAGCATATTCAAGGCCCTGAGTTTGATCCCTGGCACCAAAAAATAATACTAAAATTAAAATTTTAAAGTTTTTAAAAATTTTCTACCTTTTCTTAATTCTTTCCTGCTAATACTTTGTGTTTTTTCTTCTAGACTGGCTTCCTTCTCAAGGATTTCTTGACAGTGCTACTTGATTGTAAACAATCACCTGGAAATGCTGATGATAACATATTACCTTATTTGAACAAGTTTTCCTTTATTGAGTACCAAACCATGTGATGGTAACCTGGACTTTAATAAATGGGAAACAAGTTTGAACTGAAATTGTATTGCTTTATTCTTTGCATTGAGATGCAGAAAATGAAGTGGCCTAGGGCCTTTGCTTGATGTTGTGCCTTCCTACTCCTGGGAAAATTGCTTTGGTTCTTGAGGAGCCTCCACCCAGGAAAGCCAGCTTCATCAGCAGCTTTGCATTCTCTGCTGCAAAACCAGCTGATGCTGGAAGTCATTTGTCAATCATTTCTTCTCAATAGGGTCATCAGGGGACCCAGCCTTAGAGCCTGACTGAAGAAACAATGTGTGCCCTCCTGAGGCAGGTGGAGTCAAGTTCAAAGGTGGAAGATGGAAGTGTAGATGAAAATGAAAATCCTGGAATACAAGTGTGGTAGCCCTTGTACCTGGTGCCCTCTTGGTGTCCTCCCCTCCTCTCCTGTTCTTCTGCTAGCAGTTCAGGGTTCTCCTTGGACACCAGAGCATTTTGTGTGATAGGCCTGGAGACATGGTAATTAAAGGACAGGCATGAGGTAGCTTGCAGCCTGGTAAAAGGAAGACAGACAAGTTTCACTGCCTAACAGTGGTTGAGTTGTAAAACCCTCATAGTCGTGTTACTACACTCAGCAGTAGCCTCCTTCACCCTAACTCCAATTTTTTGTTGTTTGCTGTTTTTTAAAATGAATCAGTTATTTAGTTAGGTTCTTAGTAAGAAATTTAGAATACCAGTTTTTGAGGGTACTTGTCATTTGTCTGAGCAAAAAGGGATTACATATTACCCCAGAGCTGAGAAATAGCTTTGATTTTTGGTGAAATTCGTGAGTCCACTGCTTTCTGACCAACCTTGTACTGCTCTGAAATCTGGTGTCTCTCTGTGTTGAAGATCTCACTCTCCTGGTGTCTGGGCTTCTGCAGCTGCTTCTTGAAGTAAGCATCCATGAGGTTTCCAGGGATTTTCATGTGGCTCATATCAATTCTCGTGGAGGTGGTAATGACAGATTCCTGATGTGTTCTATGCAGAGGAACATGATTAAGTTAAGAGGCCCAGTCACAAGTAGCAAGCCACTGGCCAGCTGCTTCAGGAAAACCACTCTCTTGCCTCTGTGGCACCCACTGAGGATGCTGTAGATGGTACCAGGAGTGACAGTAGCTCAGTTTTCTCACGTGTTGACTGAAGGGCTTTTCGCTGTAGCTCAACAGCTTTTGTTGTAGGGTAGTATCGGCATTTTGCAAAGCTTAACCACCCAGGTACCTCCATTCTTGTCACCGCCAACTGGTTTTCTGACAGTAGCAAGAACCTTCTTTTTCTTCTCAACCTTGGATTTAGCAGCTTCGTACTTCCTCTTGTACAGAGCCTTTCTGGAATACATAGCAGATCAGGAGCATCTACCGATTCTTCTGACTAGGACAGGGTTTTGGGTTCAGTGAGGGTGCCCCTTCTTGGACTTCTTAGCCTTCACACTATCTTTTTTAACCATGCCTTCTTGGCTTTGGGTTTCTCCTCTTTGGTATCTGGCTTCTCAGCTTTTTTGCCTGTCATATTGTAAAATGGGAAAGAGCTCTTTGTTTTCTTGAGACAGGGTCTCACTATGTAGTTCAGGCCGGCTTTGAACTCACTGATCCTCCAGCCTCAGCCTCCCAAGTACTGGAATTGTAGGCTTACACCACCACAGTGCCTGAGAGTATTGACCTTTTACTCCTTCCAAAAGTCTGTTTTTCCTTTTGTTGTTGCTGGTTTTTGTTTTTGGTTTATTTGGGATATTAGGGATCAAGCCTAGGGCCTTGTATGTGCTAGACAAGTGGTCTACCACTGAGCTACACCCCTAGCCCTGTTTTTCCTAAGGACTAGATACATGCTACACTACACTACAATACAGAAAACAAGAATGTTAAAACTATATCTGACATTTAGCTTGGTGTTTGCTCAGTGATGTGTCTTAAAGGTTGTTATGACTATTATGACTAAGCATTATACTGAAAAATTAAGCTATAACTTTTTAACTTGTTCATATTATTTCCTATAAGAGCAGGCAGCCCATTGTGGCGGCTGTGCACATCTTTAATCCCAGCACTCTGGAAGACTGAGGCAAGAGGATCACAAGTTCTAGCCCAGCCTGGGCAATTTAGCCTAGCAAAACCTGGTCTCAAAATGAAGAATGAAAAAGGGCTTGGGCTGTGGCTTATTGTGAAGGCCCTAGGTTCAATCCCCAGTACCACAGACTTGGAAAAAAAAGGCAAACTATGACCCAGGACTAAATTTTGTCCACTCCTTGTTTTCGTATTTCATTCAAGGAAAGAATTGTGTTTTATGTCTTTAAATGGTTTGGGGTTTTTTTTGTTTTTGTTTTTGGTACTGGGATTGGACTCGGATCCTTGTGCTTGCAAGGCACAAGGCACAAGGCTTCAGGCCACCTGAACCGCTGAGCTAAATCCCTGGCCCTGTTTTTGTTTTTTTTGAGACTGACCTAGAACTCACTATGAAGCCCAGGCTGGTCTCAACTCACAGTGATTCTCCTGTCTCAGCCTCTCGAGTGCTGGGATTAAAGGCATGCACCACCACACCCAGCTCCTTTTTCATATTTTTATTTTGAAGCAAGGTTTCCCAGGCTGGGTTCAAACGTGGTCCTCCTGCCTCAGCCTCCTAGATGACTGGGATATAGGTGTGTGCCTTGCACCTGGCCTGTAGTGCATTATCCGTGGCTGCTTTGCATTATATTGTTATTGTGAGTAGCTGGGACAGAGACACTGTGACCCGCAAAGTCAAAAATATTTATCGTTTGGCCTTCAGCTGATTCCAGAAAAGTTTGCCAACCTTAATATTTTATATTAAATATATTATTATTTTATATTAAAATAATAGAAATAACTTTTAAAGCAAACTTCTAAATCAGAAGTCCCTTTTTGTTTCTCAGTGCTGACGGATTGAATCCAGAGAGCACCAAGTTACATTTCCAGCCTATTTTTTATTTAATTTGAGACAGGTTCTCATTAGATTACCCAGGCTGGAATAGCTAACTGTTAGAATTCTGTCCTAACAAAGAAGTCTCTTCTTTTCTTATGCTTTACTTTGAAAAGTCTCAAACTAATAGTTTGCTAATAAATTTAGCAAACCAATAAATTTGTCTACACCTCATATACATTTTTTTCCTGATAACTACTTATTTAACTTTTTGATTTGTTTTTTGTTTTTTGGGTACCAGGGATTGAACTCAAGATCTTGCGTTTACCAGGCAGGTGCTAATGCTGCTGAGCTAAATCCATTTAACTTTTTGAAAAATTAGTACATATTTGTCATACATATTGATCATAGTCTTCATAGGGAATTTGTACTTGTACATAATATATCTTAATTTTTTCCCCATTCCCTTTTAACTATTTAAAAGTAAGTTGCAGGGGCCAGGGATTTAGCTCAGTGGTGCTGCCACCTGCCTTGCAAAGCACAAGGACCCGAGTTCGATCCCCGGTACCAATAAATAAAGTAAGTTGCAGGCACGACACTTTACTCCTAAATACTCCAACAGACACATAAAAATAAGTGTTTCTTCCCACATAACTACACTACTTTAGGCTTAGAAGTTTGGCATATGGGATGTAGCTCAGTGGCACTGTGCCTGCTTGGCAAGCACAAAATCCTGAGTTTAATTCCTGGTACTGGTCAGGTGGGTGGGGGACCAAGAAGTTTGGCATAAACTGGGCACGGAGGTACACACCTGTAATCACTGCACTCCAGAGCCTGAGGCAGGATGATCAAGAGTTCAAGGTCAGTGCTGGGTGTGGTGGCTCATGCCTGTAATCCCAGCACTCAGGGAGGCAGAGGCAGGAGGATTGCCATGAGTTCGAGGTCGGCCTGCTTTTTGTCTCAAAAAACAAAACAAAACAAAAAAAGTTCAAGGCCAGCCTGGGTTACATATACCCTGTTTAAAAATACCAAAAATAAAAAGATTTGGCATAGCCAAGTGTGCTCCGTGTCTGTAATCCTAGCTACCTAGGAAGCTGGCAGGAGGATCACAACTATAGTAAGGAAAGGCTGTTAGACTTTGCTTTTTGAGATAGGGTAATTAGAAGAACTTGCCTAAAAAAAAAAGAGCTTGCCTCACAGGTTAAAAAAATAAAAAGGCTATAGCCCTGTGAGGAGACACTGGGTTCAATTTCCAGTACCAAAGTGGAAGGAAGAAAGGAAGGAAGCTGATCAAAAATATAGTAATGCTGGGCTGGGGATTTAGCTCAGTGGTGCTGGTGCCTGCTTCACTAAGCGCAAGGACCCGAGTTTGATCACTGGTAAAAAAAAATAAAATAAATAAATAAAAAAAATTAATGCTTAATTTTTAAAAATTATTACAATAAAAATTATTTAAAAATTATTACAATAAAGCCAGGTCCCAGCACTTGGGAGGCAGAGGCAGGAGGATTGCTACAAGTTTAAGGCAGGTCGACTACAGAGCAAGAAGACCCTATCTCAAAAAAACCTAAATAAATAAAATAATTACGGTAAAAGACATTGCCATTAATCCTCCCAGAATGTCCCCCATCACTTCAAATACACTTAGCTCATCATTTTTGCCACTTTCTGCATCGGTTCTGGAAGTGCTCTTTATTTAGTCAAGCTGTTGTGGCTGCCCCAGTGTCCTGAATCCATTCAAAACTTTCCCCTTTCATGGTCATTTTGACTGAGAAGAGCCAGAAGTCATCTGGATCCAGAATATGGTAGGTGAGGACACTATTTTTATTGGACTGAAATTGCCATAAACAGTTGATAGAGGGTGGGGGATTAGCTCAGTGGTTCTGCCGCCCGCCTTGCAAGTGTAACATCCTGAGTTCAATCCCTGGTACCAAAAAAAAAAAAAAAAA